TTTCGTATTTTTTACGTGTTTAATACCTAAATAGGGTTCAATTTCCCATAAAGTCCTCCCAGTTGGCATTTCCTGGACAGATAATCCTTGTGTTAACTTAGAAAAAAATTATTAATTTCATTAATTTTCAACAAATTTACAACTGATTTGAATTTATAAAAAAAGAATTGCATAATTTTACAATGAAGTAAATGAAAAAATTCATTTCATTGTTAAATTATACAAATAATTTAAAAATTATTTCTTTGAATGTCAGCAATTATGACAATAATTTTTAAATATAAAATTATTAAAAATAAAATAAATGTTACATATTTTATATGCTAAATATAATTTATTTAATTATAATAATTGTAAAATAAATAAAAATTGTTTAATTTGAATGAAATAAGAAACAAAAATTTATTATTATTTTCATTTTCATCAAATAAAATTATTAAATTTAAAAAAAAATGTACAGTCGATCCCCTTATAACACTGTTGATAATTCCGTTCTATAAGAATTCCGTGTTGTACGAGTCACTTAGATTTTACAAATACGTGAGTCGTTCACAGCCCGGCACACCTATTTGTAAAATCTAAGTGACTCGTACAACACGGAATTCTTATAAAACGGAATTATCAACAGTGTTATAGGGGAGTTGACTGTATTTCAAATTATTAAACAAATATTAATATTTGATTTATATTTAAGTATAGGATTGATTTTTTTAATTAAAATTTTAAAATATTTAAATAGAGAAAATTACTATTTCATTTTATTTTTTAAAACTCCTTTTATAAAATAATTGACATTAAATTTTAATAGTAATTTTTGTCATAATTCTTCTTTCTTTAGATTATAATTTATTTTATGTAATTATTATATGTCATATAAAATCTAGGACAATGACAATGACAACTTAATAAAAGGTTAAAAATACTTCTCTTTATTCTTCATTGTTTGGTGACATTAACTTAATAAAACCTTACTGAAATAATAAAATATATATATGTAAAATTAATGTAAGTTTATGATTAAATAAATTATTATTAAAGAGACATAAACAGGAAGGAAGAAATGTGATTATGTTTTGGTTATCCACAAATATAAGGTCCAAGCCCTTTACAAAAGGTCTAAAAACTATAAAAATAAAATCAATAAAACCAAATTATATTATCATCTATTAAAATTTTAATTTATAACACTTTAATATGATAATTATTTTCATGCTTTTATGCTTTTATGCCCCCTCTAGGACCTTTCAGGCTTACAGCTCTGAATTAGAATCACTTTAGCATACTGATTTATTTTTGAAATTCATCTTCTCTAACTTAATATTTATGTATAGGTCCAATTAAAATTAACTAGTAGAGCCATTTGATCAAACTGGCTTTCTCCTCTATTTGGACCTCCACATAAATATCAGTTAAATCATTAAAATAATTATTAGTGATGTTTAAAAATAATAATTAATAATTTTTACATTTTTTTGATTCAGTAATTTTTATAATTATTAAACTGATGTTTATTTTTAATTTTAAGAATTTGAAATTTCATTAATAAACACGAAATCATTAGGCCATTGACCTATCAAAATTTGGCTGAATGTCCGACAGGTCAATCATTTCCTGAAGTTGTAGACGTGACTTTTTGTTTTTAGTTTTTGTTGTAAAATATAATAAAATAAAAATCACGTGCTAATAAAATGTCACGTTTAATTTGAATTTAATGTGGCACGTGCTTTAAAATACAATTAATCATAAAATCAGAATATTTTATGTTTATTTAAGCTGACATTTCTGAATTCATTAGCAAAAAATTAATTAATTTTAAACAAAGTTATAGACTTGATTGGAATTTTTTATGTTTTTTTGCATAATTTTCTAATTAAAATTTTAAGTAAATAATATTGAAATTTATGTTAACACTATTTAACATAATTAAATTAACAAAATTATTCAAAAAGTTGAAAAATGTTCAAAATCTTATTGCATTGTTAATTTAATATCAATGATAACGCCATTTATTTGTTTTTATATAATAAGCATATGCAATATTTCATGCAATGGATTGATAGTTTGGCCTTGTAATAGGGCCTAATTATCAAACCCCGAGGATAATTAAGCCGCATAAATAGTGCCGGATTATCCATTAGGCACGTTAAGCACATGCCTAAGAGTCTCGGACTCCGAAATTACAAAAATTAAAGCAATTGCAAGTTATATCATAATTTATAAATAATTTTATAGTTACAGTTAAACATTATTAGTTCATGATGTAAAATTATTTAGAGAGGGGCGAATTTCCGTGTCTAGCGGCTTCGGAAGGTCTTAATTCGCCACTACCTGAAGGGATAATTCTTGATAGCAGTATTTAATAGCCAGGTTCTATCCTGGCTATCAAATACTGCTATCAATTTTTTAATACAAAATTATTTTATTTAATATTTTTTAATACAAAATTTCTAAATATTGTGAGTCTCATAAAGAGATAAGTAGCACACACACAACACACAAAACCTCTCTTGATCTTTGAGAGGCCGTGCTGATACCAAGAACAATATAATACCAATGGCAAAAAGTAAGCAAAAAAAAAAAAAAAACAAAAAAATCAATATAGTCGGCTTCTGCGACCTAACAGGTTTCTGGAAAGTCGTCGTTAAGCTAATTGTCGTAAATCGAGCTCTAATTTCCCTTAAGATCAGTGTTATAATCGAGATTATGTTCTTCAAAACAGTTGCATATCATCAGACATGGCAAACAAGAAAAAGACCATTCTATACAATCATAACAGAAAATTTATACCACTCATAAATCGAGAATTTTTCTATACAGGTACATGGAAGTAGCGTAGACAGAACCGATATTAAGGGCTACCGAATTGTACATTCACCCCTGTATTACTCTGAATGTAGCCACTAGCGCTTTGGATAAAGAGTAAACTCTTGTTTATTATCAGGGCCGTCGAGAGGGGAAGCTGGAAATTTTTTCCCAGGGCTCGGAGAAAACTTAGAAACCAATTGGTTCCTACTCCTATAAATCAATGCCATTTTTACTAAACAAAAATAAATAAAATCCTTAAGACTGCTTTTCATTCATAAAGAAACATCCCATGTATTTCATTTTTTAAAAAAGATGACAAAATTACGTATATAAAATGTCGACGGCCCTGCTTATTGTATATATATGTGTGTATAAGTGTATTCAGACATTTCTCCTGTATTTACTCGATTTTAATTTAATTTATTTATTTACAAAGGACCCCGGGACACCCTGGCTACATTACTAGTGTATTGCATTACTTAAATTATAATATAATTAATGTTTATTCATTTTAACCTTGTTTAAAATTGATCCATAACTTTTAAATCAGCAAATTTATTTTATTTTATTTTATTTATAACATAAAAATCTTGCTAGGGCATGCATGAACGTGAAAGACGAGTCAACTTCAAACAATGTCAAACCAGTATTATTTTTTAGAATATATTTTTAGATATTTTTTTAAACTTACCTGGTCATTAACAAAACCTTGGTTTATTATTCTAAACTGGTAGCATTTTGCTTCTGGGGAGAATTCAATGTAAACGATGCATTCTGAATTTTTTCTTTTCCTTTTCTTAAAAACAAAATAATAATAAAAGTTCTGGTTTTAAAAATAAACAATGTATTTATGCAGTTTATTTTAGTTTTATGTTACTTTTTTTAGAAATCAAAATAAGATATTATTATTTATAATTTCTTTAGCTAAGCATTGTCTACATCTGATACAACGAAAGTAGGTTATGGAATTTAAACCTTTTAGGTATGTTTGTTATTTATTAAATTGTTTAAAATTTAAATACTTATTTTGAAAATAAGTTTATACTTTTCAGGAATTAATTTTTATGATAATTGTGGTGTATCGAATCGAGAGTAGAACATTCCGCGTTTGAGGGATGGCGAAGGAGTGTAAAGATGGTGGTCACGGATGGTCGGTAAATTAAAAATAGAATTATTACATCAAAGATAATTAGCTTTGATGTAATAATTCTATTTTTAATTTATGTTGACCAAATGGGCTAGGTTCTATTGGTTCGTATGCTCTCAGTATTTACTGAACCGACACAACAATAAATTTGGATTAGATTGGAGTGATGGGTTGAGGCAACGCAACACATGAGTGATCTGCCAAAGAGGAGAACTTTCTATGGGGTACCAGTCCCTGTTTAAATGTTAGACACGCGAGAAAACTCGAAAAACACTACGTGGCTACACTGTTAGTTAGACGCGAACCCACGACTAACTACTTTATTCACTTGATGGTCACTATTTTTATTTTAATAATTTATACTTAAAATTAAGCGTACAGTATAAATAAAGCTACATTTAATTTGTAAAAATATTATTGCTCTAGACATAAAACCTACAGGAAATTATATATAGGCTATATTTTTAAGCAGGAGTAGATAGAGGGATGTCAATAGGATACTCGGTCCGTGACAGATAGCTTAAGCCTTAAAATCTAATTTTTTATACGTTAGAAAATGTCATAAGTGATGAAAAATTCGGTTTTTATTTGTTTTACAGATTTTACTCAAATATTTGTATGGATTTTGGATAGGCCTTATATTTGTGATTGGCCTGGACTCCAATTCACTTCTCTCAGATACTCTATTCAAGTGTTTCAAGATATTTGTAGATGTTATCAGATAGGTTGACACTACAGACAAACTGTTCTTTATATTACAAGTAGCATTTCAAGTATTATTTTTATGATACTTTGTTATATATTTTTTAATTTATGTGAGAGAAATTTTCACTCTTCACTTCGTCACGTGTTCACATGCTAAAGGTAAAAATATTATAATAGAATTTCTACTTTAAAAAAAAATAAAATTACAGTTACAATGATTGAACGTATTTAAAATCATCGTTTACGGTCAAACTCTGAACAATGACCACTGGCAAAAACATAAAAAAAAATGGCCGTTATTTGGGAGTTATTTTATATTTTTGTTCAAAAAAATTCCTGGAAAAAATAGTCGCTCTTTAGAGGTAATTGTTGTTAAGGGCTGTTATTGGATGTTCGATTGTATTGATGAAATATAAATATATATTAACGTATAAAGTGGCTGATTTTGCTGATAACTTATAAATCCTACTATATAAACATGATCCAGGAACCAGGTTCCATTCTTTCAAAATCTTTCCAGTTGCTCAGGGCACTGTTTGCTTTCATAAACATCCGCTTTTCCTAAATTATAAAAAATTTATGTAATTTATTTATGTTATTCTAAAAGAAGATATAATGATTTCATTATGTATATTGATTTTTGTACCTTAAAGCTATTACACATTGAATGCTGTCTTTTATTGAAAGCAGGTTTTGGTCGCTAAGAAATGTTGTATCTCATATTTCTTAAGAATTGAGTCTTGAGAGAGATTAACAATTTTGTTCTGAAAAAAGAATTTTATTAATTTTATACAATTTGTATAACTTAAATTTTTAAAATGTTACCAAAATATAAGATCCATACTCAGAATTGAAGATGGATTGGATTGGAGATAAGGCAGCACAACGCATAGACAATCAGCGAAGGAAAGGAGCCTCCGAGAGGGATTTCAGTAGAAAATTAGCCCTTATTTAAGTGTTAGACAAATGAAGAAAATCCGGTAAACTCCACGTGGTCAGACAGGTGCGAACCCATGATCAGTGTTCAATGGTTTTATCCACTCGATCAGTGGTGAGTCAGAAGTAATTTATATTTGTTTTCATGAGAAATTCTTTTATCTGTCTTTGTTCTTCGTGTATGAAACCTATTAGAAATAAATAATTACTTATAATGCCAACCTTGGTTATTTTAGATCATTTAAAAATTAATTTTAGGCTCAATACGAATACAAGACATACCCAAAAGTATAGGAAAGTAGGGTTCGATTTACGACGATTTGGTTCTAAATTAGGCACAAACTAATTTGTTTCCTTAGAACCAAAATCGTCCTAAATCAAACTCTAACNTTGTTCCTTTGTTTCAGTCATTACTCAGAAAGTAGAAGAAATCGGTGGTCAGGCCTCTATACATCAGATTTTATAAATAATAATAATAATAATAATAACAACAGTAAATAATGATACAGAATATTCATTACTATAGGTCTATCTGAGTTCATCATATTTAATTAGAAATAAATAATTACTTATAATGCCAACCTTGGTTATTTTAGATCATTTAAAAATTAATTTTAGGCTCAATACGAATACAAGACATACCCTAGTGTATAGGAAAGTAGGGTTCGATTTACGACGATTTGGTTATAAATTAGGCACAATCTAATTTGCTTGCTTAGAATCAAAATCGTCCTAAATCAAACTCTAACTTAATATAGAAAAAATTTTTAATATAATCATTAAATGAACCTAAATGTAATTAGAATTAAAATTAAAATTAAATTCAAGTTCAGTTAGGTCTCTGGGTATCGCAGAGTTATTTTCGTATACAGAAAGATCATTAAAATTTAGTCATTTATGTAAAATAAACTAAAATAAAATAAAATATGGAAACGTTATAAACCGAAGTTCTTTTTTTTTTATAAATGATAGCAAGCCTGATTTTAGGGAAGGCAGGGAAATGGGGCCTACCTAAGGTATTTTGCATGTTATTAAAAAACTTAAAAATATTGTGAGAAGTTATTTTAAAGATGCAAACAGTGTACTTTAAGAAATAAAGTGCACGTGTCGAAACTTGAGTATTCCTCTCCATATTGTCTTAATGATAAAAAACAAAAAAAAGCATTACATGAGCCCCATTGCCCAGCCATGTGGTGTAATTGAAACTATTATATAAAACATTGAAAAAAGACTGAAACTATTCAAAAACTATAAAACTTAAGTTTTTGCATACGAATTATTAATTTTTTATATATGTATTGTTTTCATNGTACTTTAAGAAATAAAGTGCACGTGTCGAAACTTGAGTATTCCTCTCCATATTGTCTTAATGACAAAAAACAAAAAAAAGCATTACATGAGCCCCATTGCCCAGCCATGTGGTGTAATTGAAACCATTATATAAAACATTGAAAGAAGACTGAAACTATTCAAAAACTAAAAAACTTAAGCTTTTGCATACGAATTATTAATTTTTTATATATGTATTGTTTTCATCATAGTTTGTGTGTTTAATGATATGTTCAAACACTTTAAATTAAAAACTTTAATTACAATACAATAATCACAAATGTAATCATCTGGAGAATCGAGCCCACTACATTCAGAATGTGTCCAAGCAACACAAACAGTAAATCTGTACCACAATTCTTTGTTTCTACCAAATTCTCTACAGATGATACAGGTATTATTACCATTGCTTGCATCTACGTCATCGTCTTCATTATAATCACAAATATCTTTCTCTTCATAATCCTCCTCATCTGTTGATTCCTTATTAATTAATGCCAGCTCCTTCTATGCTTTTCCTTTTTCAATTCGGTTCTTTTTACAGGGAGTTTTGAATTTTTCTGGCCTTTCTTATTTTCCTTCTTTCTATACAAACATTTCATGAGTGTTCCTGTAAGAACTTCAGACTGTTCTTTCTTTCTATTTTTCTCTTCTTTGATGAGCCAGGAACTGGAGAAATATTCTCAATTGGAACAATGGTATCAGTGCTGGAATGTGTATTTTGTGTTTGCTCTTTGTCTTTTATAGTGACAAACACAGTTTTTTTCTGATTTATTTGGTTCTCGTTGTTTAACTTCATTGCTTTCATGAACAGATGCAAAATCTTCTTCCAAAAAACATTTGGATTCAATTGGAATATATCAGTGGCCAGAAAACCCTTAATTGCTTTATCAATTATAACATTGAGACTGTGAGCCTTGTTGAACAACATTGCTAGTTCATATGACGTAATTTTTTTATGAATATGTGACTTCATATAGAGATTGCATTCTTGATTGAACTCAATCTACAAGGGACCAAAGAAAGTGACATCCAGTGGCTGTATTTTATGAAAGGTGTGAGGTGGTATAGACACCATGTGTACACCATTGCTTTTACAAAATTCATAAGCAGCCAGAGATGTGTGACTACAATGATTATCAAGTATCAAAATCACAGGTTTTTCTGAACTGCAATTGGTGAATTTCACAAAATGTTCCAACCATGTTACAAAAACGTCTTCATTAATCCAACCTGACTTTGAACGAGCATAAATGGCACCCGTAGGGCCATCTTTTTGAAGATATGTCATCATTCTTTATCTGGGAAAAATAAAAATTGGTGAAACTGAAGCAACATCCCACGGTGACATTCTTTCCTCTTTCCCAGCTGGAGGCTGAACCTAATTGTTTTTGACCTTTTTCAGCATAAATATATCCCAGATGAAGAACTTTAGATATGCCAGTTTCATCAAAGTTGAATATTCTACTAGGTTCAACACTGTATTTTCTCATAACACTTTCCAAGTTACCAAAAAGCGATTAATTTCTTCCCTGTTGAATGCAGTGATTCTATTAATGCTAATTACCTCGGGTTTTCTCAGGCTTAGCTTAGGATTTCGTTTTAAAAACCATACAGCCAATCTTTTCCTGCTAAACGACTAACTATATTAAGACTGTTTCTAATGTTATTCTTTTCAGAAAATTCAAAAGCCATAAGACAAACCTCCAAGAGTGTTAGTCCATAAAACAACTTAGATAGTAGCAAAATATGGTCTGCAACTGCTTTATCTTGATCCTCGGAGAATATTGCTTTTCGACTCATAATAGAAGTAGATGAGTTATCTGATTTTAAGCGTTTTTGCAATATAGGGGATAACAAAAGCTCTACATGGCTCTCTTACTCCTCTTCCTCCAGCAACTGCACTTATGGCTGCTTGAAGGTTTTCTGCAGATCATCCAGCCTTATCTGTTGTCCTTTTAAAAACACGAGGTATCTGCAAAATAACGTAAAAATAAGTAAATAAACTGATAAAATTAATGAGAGTTTTGCTTTCATTTTTGTATGTTACTGATTTGCTGAACTTGATTTGTTCCTTTGTTTCAGTCATTACTCAGAAAGTAGAAGAAATCGGTGGTCAGGCCTCTATACATCAGATTTTATAAATAANATCAAGTATCAAAATCACAGGTTTTTCTGAACTGCAATTGGTGAATTTCACAAAATGTTCCAACCATGTTACAAAAACGTCTTCATTAATCCAACCTGACTTTGAACGAGCATAAATGGCACCCGTAGGGCCATCTTTTTGAAGATATGTCATCATTCTTTATCTGGGAAAAATAAAAATTGGTGAAACTGAAGCAACATCCCACGGTGACATTCTTTCCTCTTTCCCAGCTGGAGGCTGAACCTAATTGTTTTTGACCTTTTTCAGCATAAATATATCCCAGATGAAGAACTTTAGATATGCCAGTTTCATCAAAGTTGAATATTCTACTAGGTTCAACACTGTATTTTCTCATAACACTTTCCAAGTTACCAAAAAGCGATTAATTTCTTCCCTGTTGAATGCAGTGATTCTATTAATGCTAATTACCTCGGGTTTTCTCAGGCTTAGCTTAGGATTTCGTTTTAAAAACCATACAGCCAATCTTTTCCTGCTAAACGACTAACTATATTAAGACTGTTTCTAATGTTATTCTTTTCAGAAAATTCAAAAGCCATAAGACAAACCTCCAAGAGTGTTAGTCCATAAAACAACTTAGATAGTAGCAAAATATGGTCTGCAACTGCTTTATCTTGATCCTCGGAGAATATTGCTTTTCGACTCATAATAGAAGTAGATGAGTTATCTGATTTTAAGCGTTTTTGCAATATAGGGGATAACAAAAGCTCTACATGGCTCTCTTACTCCTCTTCCTCCAGCAACTGCACTTATGGCTGCTTGAAGGTTTTCTGCAGATCATCCAGCCTTATCTGTTGTCCTTTTAAAAACACGAGGTATCTGCAAAATAACGTAAAAATAAGTAAATAAACTGATAAAATTAATGAGAGTTTTGCTTTCATTTTTGTATGTTACTGATTTGCTGAACTTGATTTGTTCCTTTGTTTCAGTCATTACTCAGAAAGTAGAAGAAATCGGTGGTCAGGCCTCTATACATCAGATTTTATAAATAATAATAATAATAATAATAACAACAGTAAATAATGATACAGAATATTCATTACTATAGGTCTATCTGAGTTCATCATATTTAGATACTAATGTGGACAATTATTAGATGTTTAGTTCTGCTTAGTATAAATGCATTAATAATTATTCCATGTAATTCCATGTAAGAATTCCATCTAATGTGGGGTAATAGGCTCATCTGGGGGTAATGGGAACCACATCTGGGCCCCACACCATTATCCCTTCACGCCATTTTATATTTCTAACCTTTGACAAGACACAAAGGGATAAAGTGAAATCTTTTCTTCATATATATTTTAATAGTTAAGGAATTAGTTAGCATTAATACACATTAAAACAATAAGTTATATACAAGAGTACTTACAGTCGAACAAATGATGGTGTTCCAATTAGAAGAAAGATGCATATGCTGTTTTATCCTCATACAATCAAACATGTGCACAGAACAACCGCCGTATGTTGACTTCCAAGTTGGCTCTGCAGCAGCCAGAAAGAAGCAACTGTTGGGATTGAAAATTCTGAACCGTTTAGCCAAAAAATAGGTGGGTCCCATTATCCGCTCATTCCCCACTTTCTCCTATTACTATTTGTATGGCAATCGATGAGAGAGCTCCCTATTTTTGTAACGTTCAGTGATGTGAGTGTTGGATCCCAAAAACTTTAAAAATAAACTTTAAAGTAAAACAAAAATCGTCTTAAACAACAAATCTAATATCACGTTTTATTAATTCAATATCAATCAATTACTTCATTTGTCATTATAATAAAAAAAATGAATGCTCGGTTGGCAATCGTTTACTTATACTATATGAATGAGGATTGCTCTAAAAGGAAGGTCATAATTCTGATTTCGAATTTGTTCACGGAAGATCCTTCTAGAACATTTGTATGGCGGGTATATAAGGGACGGTCATATGTCGGCAGCGAAGGGTAAGGGACGCTTACTCTTTCTTCATTCTGGTATTACTTTTTAGATCATGCTCCCAGATTACCCCAAAGCAAAATTTTTAGTTACGCCAATGCCCTTTAGGATAAAGCTTGAGAAAATTAAGAGCATTTTGAGAAGCGTGAAAGAAGTGAAAGAGTCTGGATGATTGACTTATCTCACTCCTCATAAACTTTAATTAAATCAATAAATTGCTGCCTATTGCATTAAAATCGAATATTAAATCAGTGATTTCTATGATAAAAACTACTAATCAAACAGTATTATTAAAAATAAGTGATTAAGGGTCACGAGAGGCCCTTATTCACTTATCTTTTTGAGGCCTCAATAAATTAAAATAAGTTTAAAAATTGAATCATATTATATAAATAGCCTTATGATAAGTGGTCTTATTAACTACCTAAATAATTGCATTTAAACAGAGTATTTTATAATTATCATTAACCGAAGTAGTGTATATTATACTGTATTTTATAATAATTATAGAATAATGGTTAAATACAATAAATAAAATATAGATAAAATGTTGCTCAAAGTATTAAACAAAAGCCATCATTATGCAAATAAATATAGAAAAAAATCTATATTTTTTTATTATTCATTTTATAAGAATTTCGCATTAACCCGTTTCAAATCGGAAGCGAATTCCAGAACTTTGTAATTATATTGTATAAAATATATTGAAAAATAGAACAAATTGTCATTCATATACGTCAGGAAACTGGTTTTTTCTCTATCGTTTCTTATTATTATTAAAAAGAAAAAAAAATGCCGAACTCTGACCCGCTCTGAATAAATCTACGTTATGAATCCATGGTTCGGCTTTTACGTTTCTTAGAGCGCCATCTCTATTAAGTAATACAAATTAAAAATATTCAAATTAATATTTTTTAAATGTCTAACTGTTAATTGAATTCATTTTACATAAGAAATTATTACTTATAAAAAAATTTAAACCAAATTTACATGTAAGATGCGTTCTGAATAAATTTATAATTATATGTGTATTTATATGTTTATATGTTATGCATACATTAAAGAATTATTATTTTTACTAAAAATATACGCATTTATTTATTTTAATATGGAATATTACTGAATATTATTAGAAAATTAAAACGTAATAACAATTATAATTAATTAAACATTTAATTATATTATTTTAAATTAAAACATTATATATTTATTTAAGTAAAAAGTTTAAACTTTGCAATAGATGGCGACACATGCTACATTATATTTACAATGGTTTTAAATTATTATTTTTTAAACTTTAGATAAAAGGTTTTATATAATAATATGAATCTTTAATGATATTTAATTAATATGTAGAATGAAAGTATTCTAATTTAGTTCCACTTTTCTTAAAATAATAATATACTTTCATTGTTATAATGGTAAAGGTATGTAATAGTAAGAAACCAAGCATATACTTTTCTCTCATTATTACTTTATTATAGAATACTTATTCGATTATATTAAATTATACATTAATTTTATTCATTTATTTAATTTTTGGTTAATAAATTTTATATCTGTCCTACGGTAGAGAGCCTCAATTCATGTATATACAATTGTTTAAAGATAAACTGTATAGAATATAGTTTAAAAAGTAAGTAAACTCTCGTCTTAAAATCCTTCCTTGATACAGAATATTACATAAATACAATAAAAATTGTAAGTGTATAATTTAAATTTTTAAATAAAGCATTTTAAAAACTATACAAAACATAACTTTAAATACAAGTAAACTTTTACCTTTCATTATATTCTCAATAGAATATCACGGTTTATAACAGATCGTCTACAAAATTCCCTAAAAACGATGAAAAAATAGCTTGAAATCTTTATTCTATCAATATTAATAGTTTAATTACGAAAAAACTCAAAAATTTTTCAAATAAATCATAATATAAGCTTTATATTTAAAAAACTGAATTTTTATTGAGTTTTCCTTGATGTTTTATCAACGTCAGCCATATTTGCGTGTGTTTAATCAAGCGATAAATATAGAAATAAATAAGCAAATAACATTTTGTACCCGTTAATTAGTATTAATCTGATATTTGTAATCAGATGGATGACTGTTGTGTTAAGAATATTCTCCATTGAGGTACTAACATACAGGCCTCTTTAAATGCTTCTTAAGTATCCGTGGTTCGGATTTTACATTGGAAATAAGTAAAATAATCATTTTAAAGAAATTAGAATTAATTTATATCATTTCATATACTTCAATAACGTTATAATGTTTAATATAAAAATTTTAATGCATAAATTGTAGAAATTGAACTAAATATTATATTAATTTGCTCAGTTATGAGAGTATATTATTGTATATTTATACTGTTTTATCAAATTTTATAATCGAATACGCTTGAAAAGAATTTAAACGTGCATTAAACTTCACTATTTTGAAAGGATGTTGACTTCTGCGATTTAAAGAAAGTTTCAAAAGTGAAAGGTTTACAGACACATCTGATCTTGGTAGAACGGAAATCAATTATAGATAATTATTTAAACTGGTCATTTCTCTTATTTTTGTTTTTGTTTTTTTGTCTGATATTTCGTTTTGCTCCATGTGATTTCAGTTCTTTTTTTAATCGTTATTATTTTTTAAGCTTCAGATTTCTCTTGAACTAACCAATTTCTTCTTCCAATTTGCCCTGTCCAATCTGGAGTTTGGCCTTCTCAATTTGTATTTCATAATATCCTTGTTTTTAATATATATATTTCAAATTTAAATGATTAAAAAAGCTGTTTTAAACCATTTCACCAGTTTTAATGCATGTTTTATATTTTCAGATTCTTCCTAACTGGTTCCTCCACTTTCATGGTTTAAGTTCGAAATATTTTAAAACACACACACACACACACACACAGAAAAAAAAACAGAAGAAGAAAGATAAAAAAGACTTTTGACTGTTCTTTACTAAAATCCTTACACTAGTATATAATTCTATTTGAAAGTCTTTTGCTATTATCTTAACTCATTAATTTAAGATTTAAACATATCAGTTTTAATCTATAGATCCTATCAAGTCTATAATTCTCGTTGATGCTTTTCTTTTTTAATTTTTCTAGACTATCTTTATATTGTCCCTATTATTTGAGCCACCTGTTTTGACATTTTTTTCATCTTTATATTATAATTAATTTATATTTATATCTTGATATCTGATTATAAATTTAAAGTAAGAATATTTACTGGAAAGGTATATAAATTAGAATTAACGTAATGAGTTAAACAAGCTATTATAGTATAAAGTACAAAAAAAAAATAGCTTCAAATGTTTGTGTTATTGACAATGCAAAAATTATTTCTTTACAGAAAAATATGCTTTAAAACGTAAAAATCAGCCATTTACAGTATTTTAAGTGAAAAGATATATTGTTTACAGTACTTTAAACACAGAAAATATGCTTTACAGTACACTTTAAATACAGAAAATTGTAGTTTACAGTAATTTAAGCTGCAGAAAATTGTCATTTTCTGTAGGCTAAGGCTCGTTCCTCAGCTTACGCTCTTCAAGTAGCCAATGTACAGAGTTTTGTATTAAAGATTTTAAGTGGATTCAAAGCCGAATATGATGCCAAAACAAACTTATCATCAGACAAAACGATCGTACTCCTTTCACATTGCAGATCACGAACCGAGGTGAAGGGCTACACCCAAAAAAGGGCAGTTAATATCCGTTCGCTCTTATTTATACGCCCTGTCGACTCTCTTTCAAATATCCCAAAAATAGGTGGAGTTTAATATACTTTAATATAAATCTATAAAATTAAATTACGATGATTATTATTAATTATTTGTATTTATAAATAAAAAATAATTTTTTCGAATTCCAGAATGAAGAGACAAACGCGCAGTGCCTTTCTGTTGAACTATCCGATTGGTCGTAGCTTATTACGTCACTTCAATTCGAAAGGAAAACTTTTATCATTGGTCACGAGATAAGAATAGAAACAATCTGGTAAGAATCTAAATTATCAAAAAATGTACGTAGATAAAAAGTGTCGTTGCGCTTTAAAACTCTTTCGTCATATCGATATTAAACTGGAGACAAAAGAATTCACGGCATACAAAAAAAAAGAGCAACAAGTGCTTGCTTTTACAGACACAGTTGCGTGAGTCATTACAATGCAGACAGCCAATCACACGAAGTTTCTCACTCCCGTGAAGGTCTATCACCGGCTCGATCTATCCAGTAGTTGTTTAACAGTCCCAAGCGACAGGTGTCTCATCGCATCCCGAAAACACCACCTTTCCATTTCGAACAACCATCAAAAATCGATATTTCATGAAACTACAACAACTTACTTGGGATTAAAAAGGTAAATCATTTCGACTTTCTCTTCTATGTTTGCTCCTGTTGACGTCATTTCACCTGACACGTGGTTCGAACAGTCACGTGAACAGATTTTGAATGGTAAGTTCGTGTAAGTTTTTTCTTATTTTTTTCTGTTTTCGACTTATATATGTTTTTAACACTTAAATTTTGACTTCAGAATGGGCAATTTTTACGTGTATACCGGAAATTTTGGACGAGAAATTACTAGATTTTCACATTCGATTACTATCAAGGACAAATGACAGGTATAAGTTTTAAAAATATTATTTAAATGATGTCATTGTGTTTTTGTAGATAACTTTCGATAAGGTTGACCTCTTTTTCTCATAATAATTTATATATTAGCTTAAATGCATATATATGTATGAACATGTATATTTTAAAATTATTTTTAAATTTCCAATGTACAGACAAATTTACTTGCTTGTTAAATCTGTTGCTACGATTCTTGTTTTCTAGACTGGAATGAGTTTATTTAATTTTTATACTTCAAGGAAGTTTCGTGTCAGGTATTTTGGGTAAATAATAAACTCGTTAGTATTGTTTTTCCTTTTTGGTATTGTTTTGCAACTTAGGATATGCTGAATAAATTTAAGTAGACTTTTTAATGAACAAAATACATATATATGTCTACAGTTTTTTACTGAACATTTAATGCCCTTTGAACACGATTAACAGGTGATATCATGAATAAGTCATTTCGAGTTGTTAGATTTTTATGGAGGAAAAAAGTAACCCTTCTTCATCAACTTCTCTGATGATAACTATTGACTTTTAGTTCTAGGTACGTCCTAGATTGATTTTCGTCTTGTTAACACGAGACAAGCGAATTATATTGAAAGGTTTCAAGAACAATAAAAGTCATTATTTGTGGGAAAAACGTTAAGTCTTTGTTCGTTTTAGTCGAAGAGCATCGACAGCAAAGATTAGGTACACGAGATGCAGTCACCATGACGGACTCGCTACGTTCCCAGATGAACACTGAACGGATATCCTCCGCCCCTTTCGCCCCCAAACGAGCGTCTTTTCTGAGGCCAATGATCTTCTAAACCTCTATTTGCCCCTATAGTGTCACGAGAAAAAACAATTGCCCATTCGCATAAACAACTGAAGTGACTGAGAAAAGAGGTTCTTACACCTCTAAAATTCACACTTCCCCCCTAAGAATTATGCATTTCGAATTTAAAGTAGAATACTCAGTCAACTCGCATTTATAATTAGTTCAAAAATTTCCAACATTCATCTTTCTCTACGGGGAATTTTTCAAATAATTTTAAATAATGGAATATTTATTTTTGAATATCAAATTTAAACTTAAAAAAATTTTTGGGGAGTTTAAGCTCTGTACAACGTTTCAATTTTTTATTACAAAAAGCATTTTCATCTTCAATATATTAAAATTAGAGACCATTTTAAGTAACGTTTATCATCCGAATTCGTCATAACTTCGTTAATTGCTGACAAAATCAGTCAAATGTAAGTCATTTTTACACTGTTTTTATTTAATAGTTTAAGAAAATAATAATTGTTTTGAATTATTTATTTGTTACCACTCGATTCAGCGAATTATTTAAAAATATCCTTATACGTGGTTCCACTCTTCGTAGATACATGTTTAATTACTTTAGAGCCAATCAGTTCTCCGAACTTAATTAAGTTTGTATTGAAAACAAACAACTCTTAAGATTATTGACGCAATAGGGTCTATTGTATGTCATTGTATGTTAAATAAGGTATCTACGCAATCACCCTTCGGGAGTCTTCGCTGTGGGAACTAACTTCATCCGGGGCCTCGTTCCGCATCGTCTGTCAAGACTGTTACGTGATGACGACTGCCACGCAATCCTCTAGCGATTATGTCACCACAACGAACCCCCATTCAACTTCATTCGAGTTGTTAGTTTAATTAAAGCGCGCGAAAATTTAGCAACGGAATTCTTTCTCGTTGCACTTCGGGAATTTTTCTTCCTTCGTTTGTTTTTTCTTTTAAAAGAAATGGATTTACACAAATACCGAAAGAGAATAATATTATCGAACTTCAAATCCTGTTTTGATCGAGGAAAAAGAATGTCAATGCAATGTTGTATTGTACCAAAGTTACTTTTAGAAGTCGGTCGTATGTTGCATAGAAGTTGTCCAACCAGTTTCTAGTGTCACGGCATGTGTCATTATCTGGCATTAACTTCCTATTATTAGAGGTTGTTCAAGCAGAGAGGATGTATTCGTATCTGGAGACAATAGCGACATTGTTTGATCCGGTCTATCCTGACACACCAGGTCCAAAATTCCAATATTAGGCAAACTAGATTAAATTCTTAATCACTTTCCATCTTTAGCATTCGGGTCGTCAATCTGTCATGCATATAAAACGCCCTTTGATTTGTATGAATACGAAGGGCATATCCTGCTTTTTCCATTAAAAATTATAAAGATATTGATGATTAATCTGTGTCGATTAACGGAAGGTGTAACCTTGATAGTGTCTAGTTGTTTGAATGAGAGACGCAATGCATTCTGGGGAAGTTAATTGATAGTTTGATGTAAAATAAAACCGCCACCATTATAAATGATAGAGCATTAAGCCTTCTTTTTTAACTTTATTTTGTAAAATATTAGAAAAAACACTGAAATTATTCGTGTGTGACGTCTAAGAAATGTTGAACATGCGAACGTAATTTTCTGTGATCAATGACTAGAAACCATATAAATAATTAATGAGATTTTATTAATTTATTTCAAGACTTGGTTTGAAATTAGCTTGTGAAATAATTAAAAAAATAACAAACAGACGAAGGAAGTTATTATTAATAATTTCTTAGATGTTCCTGAATTAGTTTCCTCGATTCTTTAATTGAAAATAATTGTATTCAGTATAATTAAAGCTCCAAATTCATAGCTTACCGCTCCGGTTCTATTGATGAGTGCCCCCAAAAAAACCAAGAAAAAAATAGTCAAGTGGTAACGTAGGATACTGATCTATAACCGTGACAAATAACCCGAGAATATTCTAGAGAAGAGAAATAAGTGGATAAAAAGACGGGTGTGACCAAAGCGTGGGTCTAGCCAATTAATCATTCCAAACTAAACGATGGTAAGTCAGACTCTACAGTATAATAAGTAATTATTAAAATCTACCTTCTATATTAAATAAATTTTTTATGATACGATGCTTATATTTTAAATTTAGTTATAAAAGAAAATAATTATTTCGAACATAATTCTGTACTATACGAAACAACAAGGCAGACAGAGGCATGCTGCAATTTTTACGTCACGGCTGGCATATGTATTGGACGAATGCCACGAATCGGATGAGTGATTTTTCGTTAGAATTGCGACATTTAAAAAAAATATCAAAACTCGTATAGAGAAGTTGAAGAATTTCAACATAGGGTCTTTAATTCTCAATGGCACTGGAAGAATTCACGGCGAGTAATACTTGATGCCGTGATTTCTCTAGTGCTGTAGAGGAAGAGGGACTAAGAGCAACTTAGAACTTTTTGACGAATTTGTAGACATCATTGGAGCATATCTCCTGCATATGCTATTCATCCTGTGATGTGGACACTTCAGTGATTAAGTTAATGCGTCGCACTCCGACCATTCCCTTTCTTGTAGATTTTTATCGTTCTACGAAGCTTTTGTTTTATTTATTCTTTTATTTCCTGAAGCCAACATAAAAAAAGAAGCAAGAAAACTTCTCCGTTCTTTGGCACTGGCACATTTTTGTGTTTTTATTTTACGACAAAAATTGTGATAGTGTCGAGCAACAAGAGGAGACATAACCTACTTGATCATCCATCTCGAATGAACTGCTCTGATTCGACTTCAAAAAAAAAAAAACAAAAAAAGGAAATTGTCCTGAAGGAAATAGTTCCATCAACAAATTCTTCCAACGGATGATTAATTCTCATTTTCGTAAACTGCTTTTGTGAATTTTTACACATTTCTTCTTGATGAAGGCTGCTTAAAGAGCGTAGAAGGGATATACACTTGGCTAACTTCCATTGCATGGATCGTTCCACACTGATTATCATTCGTAAACAGAAACTGTAAATCTTCTATATTTAATGCAAAACTCGATTATATATATGTATATATGATTTAATTTTTTAAAAACAAAATTACAAAATTCTTTTCCATATTCACGAATGGTAGGCGAAGTCATAATTATGTAATTTGTACGGATGAGAAATGTCATTCATGACTTTCAAAACAGGGAGGAAATACAGTCGAATGGGTCCATTCCTTTATTCTTTTGCGTGATATGGTAAAAACTATTTCAAGTATGACGTTGCTCTTATAACTGAATGTGTTAGATGATAATTTCATTGCTATACTTTTTATATAATAAATCTGATCCAATATTTTAATAATTTAAAATTATATTTACCTTTATATTCATGTTTTCATGTCAGAAAAATTTTGGAAATATATCTATTTCGTCTTGGAATTGGTTTTCTTTGTGTACTTTTACAGTTGTAAAGTTATTTTAAGTATTAGAAAGTACTCAAAGTATTAAAAAAGATTATATCGGAGTAACCACGAGAAGTTTGGGAATTAGACTCAAAGAACATAAATATAATATAAGAAAAGAGTCCAATGCAACAATTCTGTCACAAATGGCACAGACGCAAGACTCTGTAGTCAAATGGAATGATGCAGCCATCATCAAACCTGTATATTCCCCATTTTTGGCGGCGACGGCGGAAAACATCCAAATTTATAAGAGTAAACTACATGAAGGATGTCTGAATGCGAGGAATGCAGAAAGTCTTCCCTTTGCATGGAAGTTTATGATTAAAAAATTTACTAAGAACTCCAACTAATTAAATTAGTAATTTTAATTTTATTAGAGATATTGTTAGTAAACAATCTTATATTCTTATTTTTTATTTTTCACATGGTTAATTTTTGTTTTGTTTTAATTTATTTTATTTTATGTTATTCCGTTAGTTATTTAATTTTTTGAATTTATATTCTATTTTGGAATGCTTTAGTTCTAATTTCGTTCATAACCTGATGATGGCCTGTGAATTAGGCTGAAAACGTTTGCTTTTATGAAATAAATATTTTCTCGGCAAGGATAAAGTGTTATTTGTACGTTATGTTATTTTAAGTATTTTATGCACTGTTTTAGTTCAAAATTATATACATATCTGGTGGCCCAAAAGTCGGTTAACCACGTAAATCGCTCGAAAAATACCTCGTTTATCAAAGAATATTAAAAAAACAGTCATTATTTAATTTATTAGTAATAAGGTATTCGAATAAGACAATGATTTAGTTTTTACATTGATTAACTGACTTTAGGAGCACCATTTTTAAATGTATACACGTTAGTCAAAATTTATAGAGTTGTTTGGTATAGTATGAATGTATTGTTTATCACATTAAAGTTGCAATAACTTTCATGCATAGATCTACACTGTTTTGCAATTTCTTTCATGCATAAAAATGTAGAAGTGTTTTAGTTTACATAGACACTTCTTTAACATCTATAAAAACTTTTATTTACATTATAGAAACTGTAACTGAGTTATATACATTATCATTATAGAAAGCAAAACATTCTAATAGTTAAATATATAATCGTTATTGATATTTTATGACTTTAATTATAATTTAATATGGATTTCTCAATACTAAAACTTAATTTCCAAGCGAAAATGTTACGAAATTTATATAAAAATAAGGAATGAAGTAATCAATCTTGTTACCTTCATTTTTCTCAGCATGTTTATATTTACATGGCATTTATATATTTTAAATTAATTGAATGTATTTTAATTTTAATTTTCTCCATTTTATTATAAATATTTTAATTTTTTGTAGAATATTTTTATATATAATTATCGAAAGGTTTTTCCAGATAAATATAAAATTTTTTGGATTCAACGAATGATAAGATAATTTTTCCTCATTTTTTTTTTTTTTTTGTTTTTTATTAATGATTGATTGTGACTGTGACCATAAGCTACAACATATAACAGGCTCTTTTCCTCTATCAAACAATGATACAAGTAAAAATGTGAGGCTCTTAGTCTCATAACGCAAGATATATGTTTAGCTTACGTGCAAATCATAAATTATTTCTTTGATATTTTAACAGATAATCTAAGGTATAATTTATAAATAATAATATTTGGAAAACTTTTATAGAAACACAACTTGCCCGTGCAAATCTCTAAAATCTGTTTTCAGTCTTAATTAAATTGGTTATTGCAAAGATATAGAGTGGATCTAGACTACATGTAAATTAAATAAGCTATTGTATAGGCTTTAGGGCCTCACGCTTTTAAATTCATTATTATTTAGTGGAAAAGAATTAAGGCTACAACTAGTCTAAATCCGACTATGCAAAGATATTTGGAGTATTTTTAAGTTTAAGTATCCATCAATTAAATAATTGAAAGCATAAAAAACTTCAGTTAAAAGTTTGATAGTGGATGCTTTATTAGGTTAGTTACCTATAACCTAAAGTACAACTTAAAAAAAATTAAAACATAAACAACGAAGTAATTAACCTACTTTACATGTATCCAAATAGCTCTTAATTTATTACTTTTTGATCCAAATAACTATTAATACTATAAAACAACACTTTTTAACACAATTATTCTTAACATTGGCCTACAATTCTTGATGTATAAAACTCCAAAAATGTTTTTTTTGGGGGGTTTGTATATTAGTAAACTTGCGAAAAACTCAAATTTTTTGAGATATAAAATAAAGAATGATTGATATAAACTATTGTCTTGGATTCAGCAAGTCAAATGGATCAATAAGCTGCAGCTTAGGGATCATATTTTTTTTTTATATGTGCCATTATTTGGTGTAAAAGAAGGGTCTATTATAGGTTATAACTTAGTGCCATAACAAGTATCTTAAAATGTTCTGATATAGGCCTTTTTTACTTCGAATTCTGTAATAAAGAAGATAGTTTCATATTAAAATATAGTAATAACTTAAAACAAAACTAAACACTCTAAGCTTTTTTAAATAATTAAGCTTATTTATATGAAAATTTGGGTTGTTTTGCTTAAGTCGAAAGTCGCTTTATATGAAAATTTCGGGTATTTTTCGTGTTTGTCGTATATATGTATATCATTATTTCATTAAATTCCGCAATATAAAATGGCTGAGTGTTAAAAATCATAATTTTGACTTTAATAAATAATAATACAGTCGGTCATCCAATAACGGTTACCACCGAACAAACTGCCACCTCTAAACGGCGATCTTTTTTTCAGGAACGTTTCTTTTTAAAAATCATACAAAATAATCTCCGAACATCGGCCATTATTTTATTGTTCCCGTCAGTGGCAGTTGCTAAGAGATTTGACTGTATTAAAACAATTTTAATAATTTAATCCAAAAAATATGAAAATTTCGGGTATTTTCAGTGTCGGTTCGAAAGTTATTTTAATATATTTTTTAATCAAATTTATAAGTATTTATGTATTAATTTTTGTGTTAAAAGCATTAATTACACTGTAGCTCATTCCAGACATTTTAAATCGATGTCGATGAGAAAATTCACTATAAATACAAATCGATCGTAACAATTTTTAGAAAATTTAAACTTATAAATAATTCAGAAATCAAAATAAAAAATAATACATTTGTAATATAAAACTTTGATTATAAGATTATTTTCTATAATTTTTATTATTATTTTTTTAATGTATCCGTGTTAGTTTTGTCGATCGTCGCTAGAGGACGGTAAGTTACAGTTGTGGTGCTTATGCTTATCTGTATAGTTGTGTTCTTGTTGAAATCAGTTCTGTCAATTAAATAAAAAAAAAATAATAATAATTTGTATTTATCGAAAGGATTTTTCTCAAATTATTAATTATTTTTATGTGACGCTGAATTGTTTAGTCTTATCATTATTTCCCCAAGTATTGCTCAGGGAAAGAATATATATAAGATGGCTACAGAAGATGAGTTTGTGGAGCCTATTAGTAATAAGGAAAAGGTAAATTCTACTTATATTTAATTTCCTTAATTATATTTAATTAAAAAAGAAAAGTAATTACATTTATCCTTTTATTAAATCTAAAAGTATTGTTTCAATTATTTATATCACTCTAAACATTGGTTGGAATTAACTTTTAAGTACTTGCATGTGTACATATATAAATACATTAATGAATGACCTAAAGGCAACTCTTACCAAATATTCTATATATTTTAAGACATTAAAACAATATATATCTGAAAATGAGTAAATCATTAAATGAATTTCATTATGCAATTCATTTAACAATTGGTGAACTGTGTGGCTGTCAAAAACTTGCGGTCGAGTGGGCTGTTTTAGCCCCTTAATATGCTCCTTTTTCCTTAGTATGTCTCTTCATTAATAGAATTCACTCTTAAGGATTTTATTAGTAAAAATAACATTAATTTATATGGGTGGGGGTAGGAAGTAGTATGGCTTGGGGGAAATTCCCACGGCTTTCCCTTCTCAGTCGCACTGGCAACCCGAATGTACAGTATCATGTGCTCGGCGATATAATTTACATTTGATTAATGTTTAGACGAATTAAAAAGTAGATTTATATCTTCCAAAAAATTATATTTGTAATAATGTTTTCTATTTGATTTATAAAAGGTTGAGTAATAATTTTCAGAAGATTACACATACAGTATTCATCTGCAAGAAAATAGAGCATGGTTTGTTTGTATTAAATAAATTCAACTTTTGGTAAGATTAGTTATAATTAATTTATATTTAATTTACACAAATTATTCCTTCTTTAACTATTGGTTTGATGTAGATTTGTTATTTATTTATTGGTTGTAGCAATATAGTGATAAATCGTAAGTGTTTTATATAATGTATAGCGGATGATCTGAAAGTCTTTTGATGTAGCAGCTGTTTGTAAATAAATGCATATTGGTAATAAATATTGGTACATGCGTGTTTAAGCAAAGACTAAAATTTTAAAAAATTTCTTACTAAATTAAAGGGTAGAACCTTGTTTGCTGTTGCATTAAAATCATTAAGAAAATTTTGTAGTGCCAAAAACAAAATTTTCTTAATGTTTTTAATGCAACAGCAAACAAGGTTTTACCCTTTAATTTAGTAAGAAATTTTTTAAAATTTTAGTCTTTGCTTAAACACGCATGAACCAATATTTATTACCAATATGCATTTATTTACAAACAGTTGCTACATCAAAAGACTTTCAGATCACCCGCTATACATTATATAAAACACTTACGATTTATCACTATATTGCTACAACCAACCAGAATATGATATTTACAAGATTCAGAATTAAACATTTAATTTCAGGGATTTATATAGAAAAATTAACATCGTATATAGAAAATTCTTAAACTTTTAAAACATTCTGGTTTAAATATAAAAGAAAATAATGAATAATTATTAGAAGAAATGAAATAAACTTTCAGAAAATTTGTTTTTACTTCAACAAATAATATATTTAAGTTTATTTAAAGTAAATACATGTGAATTTTCTTATATATTTTGTAAAGTATTTAAAATTTATGTGAGGAAAGAGAGTATTAGAAATGTTTACTCGAAAAATTTTATTATGAATCTAAAAAATAAATAAAATCTCAAATATTTGCTTTTGTAACTTTTGTCATTTTGAAGATGATTCATGAAATTTTGACAATTTTGTCAAATTTAGAAAATGATATGTTTAAATATAAATTATAATAGCTTTTGAAAACAGGAACATACAGTATTTAATTTTAATTATGAATTCTTTCAACATAAGATTCTCATTTTTAGAGAAAATGAATGCTATTAACTTTTTATTAACAGTTGTTCTAATGAAATTTTTTTAATAAAAGAAACAATCAATTAAATAAAATATTTATGCATAAAGCATAATGCAGTTTTAGTATTTAATCTGATTAATAAATGTTAGAATCTCTAAATAAGGAATTTTGTATTATTGTATATAATTAAATGTGCAGATAAAGACTATATATATAAAAATATATAAAAGATATATGTGAAGATAAAGTTTTATATATATCAGACAATGTGTATTTTATATTTGTTTATCCTCTAAGTTAATTTTTTATTCTAAATTTTATATCTTAAATTAAAAATATTGAATAGAATATTTTTATAGAATATGCAATACTGTGATTTATAAAATTAAAATAAGCTGAGAGTATAATGAGGACTTTGCACTTTACATTTTTTTTTTTTTTTAGTTTTGGGTACTTCACATTCCTGACCATGAAAACAAAATTAAAAAGACAAACAATAATAAATGAATAAACAGAAACAAAGTAGTTTCCGTCTCACAAAACTTTTGCATAACAATGTTAACTTAATATACAAATGTTAGCCAGCACAAAGATTATGATAACAAGTACATTTGGCTTTTTAAAAATATTGTCAGATGTTTATATGCTTTTATATATAAATTCAAAATATCCTTTAAATATTTTGAAATAATTTTTATATAGATTAGTGTATAAGAACCTAATGATATTCAACAAAAGTCTGTGACAAGTACTTCTGGTCCTTTTAACATGTAAGAGAATGCATTGGTCACTTGTGATAATAGGCTCATAAATTACTGCTGATAGAAGTTCATCTAATCTAATCAAGATAAATGAGATCAGAAGGGAAAAAGTTGTGTCATTGATAAAAAGGAAAGAGACCTTATGATATAAATAAATTAATTGGAATTAAATAAATTTTATTGTTATGATTAAGTGTGAAATCTTCACTTTATTTTGTTAGTTATTATGGTACAGTACTTACATTTTGATATATTGATTATTGCTGTTTGCTATTCATATAACTCTAGCATTAGATCACAATTATAAGTTTAAATCAATATTATAAATATTTTGTAAAAATAAGAATTTTTTTTTTATAGCATTCAGTGGTTAATTACAATTATATTTATAATTATAATTCCATATTTAGTTTGAATTAAAATATATGTTAAAAATAACTTTAATAAAATTGACAGTTACGTAAAATAAGCAAATAAAATATATAATATGGTAACTGCTTTCAAACTTAAAGCATTTTTTTTGCATTTATTAGTATTATATATTCTTTAAAATGATTTTTTAAATATTAATATACTGTATATGATAAATGCATATTTGATAAATAATGATATTAAATGATATATAAACAATGCATTATTGTGATATAAAAATTATTGCATTATGTTATTTAAATAAAATTAAATTTGCTAAAGCAATTTTGAAAATTGTCTTTTCTTGAATTTACAAAAAATAAAAATTCTAGCAAAATTTAGTTTTTATATAAAAATTAGAATCATTAAGAATTCAGCAATAGTTGCAGAACGGCTTTAGTAATTTGAATTTCTAGTGATCAGAACAACTTAAACAAGTTTTATATTAATTCAGAGCATGCAGACACACTATCAGTAGTACATTTGTAGTAGCACAAGGTTAGGTTTTTCTCCTATTACTTTTTAGTAACTATGTTTTAATGCATTATGTGGCAAACTTTTGTGTCGTATATATTATAAATGATAGGATACATATAAAATGTGGCAAACCAAATGTCATCTTGTCTTATTTTATTGAGATGATAAAAACTGTATTTTGATGTTATCTAATAGAAGGTTTACATTACCAGTTTTTAGCATTTAAAAGTTGATTTACAGTAAACATTTTTTCAAAAGGCAGTTTTTTTTTATTTTAGTCCTTTTATTGATTTTATTTTTAATAACTTATGTTAGAAAGAAATTTAATTTGAACAAAATTCTTGAGGATGTCAGTAAGGAATGAGTGTACAAAATAATGTCTTTTTAGATGAAATTGTTTATAGTATAAATCATCATTAACACCTGAAAACAATACTTTATCAGATAAAATTTTTATTATATAAACATGATGTGTCAATTACTTATGCTTGAAAAAGTTATTTTTATTTTGATGTTATCTTTTGATTAAAAGACATTTGTGAAATGAAAACCATGTTTTTCTTGTGTTTGTTTGGCTTTGAAAATGTTTTTATTTTCAAAAAAATATATTAAAAATAATATATAGTATATAATACAAAGCATTTTTAGATACATAAAAATTTTTTAGAGTTCTTGCTTATTCCATCCGATGTTTTATTTAATCAGTTTTCAATTTTTGGTGATAAAATTCAGTATGTTCTGCATGTAATGAATAATAATAATATTATCAAAATTGTAGAAAATACAAGTTATGTCAGTAAAAACAAGATAAATTGCAGCAGTTGTATGTAAGTAAAATTGCATATAAACGCTTAATAACAGTTGTCATTGGATGATTTACTATAATTTTGTCTTATATAACTTCATTGTTAAAAAAGAAACTGTTATGTAAATATATATTATTTATAAATATAGCATGTTTTTAGGTTGATTAATATATTAAATTAATAATATAATTCAGATATTTATAAATGTTTTAAAAGTGATAATTGTTTAAAACATTCATGATGGTAAAAAGATTATGCTTTAGAGAAAAATTTTACATTAATTACAGGTTTGACCTGCAAGAATTTTTGATAAAACTAGTAAATCAGCATTAATGTAACCTGAATTTTTAACTGAACTATTCTGCAAAAAATTTAATCTAGTTTTTTAGGTTAAGAAATAAAATTTAAACCTAGAACTGAAATACCTAAAAATTCATATACAATTTATGGCATTTTAATGATAAATGAAGCATGCAATGCCATAATGTTATAAATGCCATTTTCTCTAAATATGTTTTATTGAAGAATTGAATTCTAAACAATGTTTTCTGATGCAAAAAAATATTGTGGTGATATTGACACTGTAAGTGGCTGTATTTTGAAGTTGAATTTATGTGAAGTCATAATGTTTAAAGTGCCAAAGTGCAAGTCACATGACTTTTGGCACTTAAAACATTACAGTGTCTATTTACATCATTTTGATATTCCAGAGAATTTGTAATCTAGAGAGTTTTTACTATTTTATTGTAAAATTGAAATGAATTCATTTACTAGAAAAAGTTTTTTTCTCTCTCCTAAGAAGTTTGTTTTTTGGTATTTAAATCGTTATGGCATTGCATGCTTTAAATATTGTATTGATCTTGCATGTTAATGTATGAAAGTTTAATCATGAATATTTTAATTATCATAAAAATATTTGTATTTTTATGATAATTGCAACAAAAAAAAGTTTAAAATTTACATTAATTAGAATGAACACTTTGAACAAATAAAATAAAATTTTTTAAAAATTATTCTTAATTTAGTTCATAATTTAAATTTAATGTGTTCTCTATGATGTGAATGAATTTTATGTTATAATTCTCTGAATTTTAAAGATACTGATATTATATTTTAAAATTTTCATTAGATACAAATAGTAACGGAATTTATGTTGCGGGCTCCACCGGGAGAATTCAATGAAGTGTTTAATGGTATGGATAGATGGTGATTTTAAATATTTTTAATTTATCTAAATTTATTATTACTTTTTTTATTTGTAATTTTAAAAATACCTAGCTATAACAGATTTTCTCTGTGTATGTATGTACTGTACATACCAAAAAATTATCTTGCAATTAAAATAAGCAATTTATTTTGTATTAATATTTCATTTATATTTTCATTAAACAAAATGTATTTAATGAAAAGATAAATGAAATATTAAAACAAAATAAATTGTTTATTTAAAAATAATTAAAATATTATTAAAAGATTTTTATTTCATATTTTATATAGACTTAAGTTATTAATACAGGTGTATGCTGCATAATGACAACGATACATTCTGAGAAATACTGTACATTGAGTGTTAAATAAATGTCATTGAGTATACTTAGAGAAAACTATATGGTTTTTTGTCTCCTATGAGTAGGAGACATAAAATCATATGCAGTGCTTTTTTTCTAAGAAAAATTACTGTTGTAACACCTATATTGTGACTGAATTTATAGAATTATTTTTACTGATCAACTGCTTTACTGGCTACTGATATTTTTTAATGCTATCTGCCAGTTTGTTCCAGCCAAAAAATACTCTATATAACACAATGATGAGTATTTATGTATGTAAACATAGAAAAGATACAGTCAGCTACAAATTTTTCAGTGCCATTATAATCTTTTGGGATCTGTATGATATATGTGATCCCATATCCTTATATGAATATATCAATATTATTAATAATTCATGGTATTTTGGAAGAAGGTTGAATTTATAAATTTTATTACCTACAGCATGAGCTTTTTAATATAGAAAGTAACTAAATGCCATTTATGCTTTGATAGAGAATGAGGGCAGTAGATATAGATCAAAGTATTTATAAAAACTTAAATTCTTAAGTTTTAATAAATAGTTTAATTTTCTCATGCATTCTCTGACTTTCATTTAATTACAATTATTATTTGACAAATATAGTCTTTTTATTTAAACTTAAAGAAGTTTAAAATAAAATAAAAATTTTATTTAAACTTAAAGAAGTTTAAAATAAAAAGACTGCATCTTAAAGGGTTTTTGTTGTTTGTTGAATTTTAAATGCAGATAGAGAAGAGTTATTATTTGACAAAATGTAAATCATGTCTTTCATACATAAACTTTAACTTTACAATTATTTTTGACAAGACTATGTCTTGTTTATAAAATCGTACTGCCAGTTTATATTACCAGCTTAGAGGTATGAAGGAGTACATGTTGAGAGTTGATATTTGGCACAGAGTATTAGGTGCCCAAATCATTTGTGTATAAAAAAATCCAGACATGTAGGTAGTCATGGGACTGAGAACCAAGTCAAAATAAAATACAAAATGATGTCCCTCTTTTACAAACAGGCAAAACAGGCACCTCACCCCACCGAAATCAGGTGGGGGACAGTACCACCCACAGTCATTCTAAGAAGTAAACTCTGACCTTAGGACTGAACATGTAGTTTCTTCTATGTTAAATAAAATTTGTAATCTAATTTTGTAAATTTGGGAGTGCTTCAAATATGACATTAAAACAGGGTGTCGTTACACGTAGGTTTTTTTAACATTATCTAGTATAGTAAAATTGTGGGACTGATAAAAATTTGATGTTATATTAGGGTTGTTGTTACATCTGATGATGTTATAATCGGGTTAAACTGTATATTGTTTGTGCAAAATAAAAAAATAATTTTGGACAATACAATAGCCATGATTATTTTTTCAAAAATGGGAAATTTTCCTTACACATCAACAAAAATTCAACCCGGGCCAACGGAGAGAAATTTCAAAATTGGATAGGTTAATTTCATTGAAAATGCATCGTGGATGAAACTTTGCGTGGTTGTGGCCGGCAAAGTTTGAATGATCGCACCCAAAAGCAGCGATACCAAGGAAGATTGGAGAATGAGAACGAGACCTGCCTTGAGTGTCAAAGTGATTTCATTTAGTAGTAAGTCTCCGAGACATAGTCTTGTCCCAAATACGGTTTTGCCATTTTACTTGTTTATATATGTATTTGTTTTAACATAATATTTTACAAAAATATTCAATAATTTACATAAAATATTTCAAATATAGTTTTTAATTTGTTTTTGTACCATTTGTGTTGAAATACCTCTTATCTAATAATAACTTTATTTTAAGGAATAGTTAAATATCCAGGGTGTCCCAAAAGTCTCCATACAGTGACACAAATCAAGTCCACCAATGGCTGAATAAATAAAACCATTGCACACTGGTAGTTGGTCATTGGTTCATATCTGACCAATGGACTGGCCACCATGCAGTGTTCTGGGTTTTCTTCCTGTCTCCTAAACAGAATCCAGTTTCTACATAGGAAGTCCTGCTAGAAGTTACTCCATTGGCAGATCACCCATGTGTTTGGTTGCCTTACTTTGTCAATCCACTGACACAAGTCTTAATGCTGACATTTTAATGTTTTGTGAATAAAGTTACATTTCACCTTTGTATGTACGGAAACTTTTGGGGCACTGTACAATTATTTTACAAAAAATTGAAATTTAGGCTCTTTTTTTCAAAATAATTATATAAAGGATTTCACACAAACTTTATGGGAAGTGGGTCTTGGTTGATTTAGCTTAATCTTTGATATTTAGTTCTAGTGGATCTGATCAAAAATCTCCATAAGGACACAGTCAATAAAGAGAATTTTTGAGTCCAAGTGCAAGAGTTTATTTGCATCCAAGTGCAATAATAGCATAATTCAAGCATGTGTTGTCAAGCTCTAAATCTCTTTTGTTTAAAAATATAATGATATGTTCCACACAGTTACTTTTCTATTGTAATCAAGTCTTGGCATAGTAACTCTTGCAAAAAGAATGCCATAAATCATGTGAACCAAAACAGCATGAGAATCAAACTCTTGTGTATCACATGATGAATGATTTTTCCAGTGCCAAACAAGACAGTCAGGCAAAAAGTCAGACAATGTGCCAAACCTCAATAACATCTGAAAACATATAATGTGTGTTCAGAGAGAGAGCGTTTTACACAGCAGACAATAGTTGGTTTGATTGGAGGTATGGTATTTTATTAATACAAAAGTAAGTACAGTACATACCTGTATTAGGTATAAATAAAACATTTTTGACATACCTTAACAGAAATAGTTTGTCAATAATTTCTTATGACTGACTTTGTTAAACCAACAAGATACAAGCCAAACATATAGGCAATCAGAGAAAAGCAATGGTAATTGCAACTGTATTATATTGCAAGAGATATTTCTCAACTCAATTTATACTATTAAAATGTAGTTACTGAGCTTTGAAATTATAATTGACACTTCAGTCCATAATTTGAGTTATAGAAGTTTTGAGAGAAAATTTTATGAGATAAACGTGGAAAATTATTCAATTTATGTTGAAAATGCAGGGGAAATTTTGAAATAAACATGTATGAGATAGATAGGTTCAACTGTACATATAATGCATACTTTAAGTATATAGTATATTTACTTTAATCATACTTACGACAAATTATGTATGAAAGTATACTTGTACCTGTACGTACATAAATAAGTACTGCATATGCATGCATATATATATGTGTGAATGTGTATATATATTCACATCCTAAAACATGTATAAATTGCATTTAAACATGTAAAAAAGCCTAAAAATATTTTGCCTTTAGTGAGTTTGTGCATATTGTTAGTTTGAGTTTAATATAAACATTGCTGTTTCTTAATAGACTTTCTGCATAGATATATAATGAAAACAATTTTCCAATTCTTCTGGATGAAAAATTTCCAAAACTTGTATGACTTTCATATTTGATCACTATAATATTTCTTAGTCAACACTTTTGTTTTGTTACTTACTTCCTTTGAAGTTATGATCATCAGCTGCCAATAACTTCATTTTTAAAATGTAAAGTTTTTATGCAAATACTATCTATTATGTTAATACTGTTATGCTTACTACTTATAAACTAGTGAGCTTAATAGAAAAATATCAATGCACAAATTCACTATTATTTCAGTGAATAATTAAAACAATTCTGGAATTAGTAATGCATTTGATAATTTTGTAAGGTGTTAACCTTACAAAACAACTTCCTTCTACTGATGATGATGACAGATTTTTGCCTACAGCAAAGAGCAGTTTTTATATTACTTGACGTTTATTCATATTATTATGGTTGCTATTATATGCTATGTATTAATTATGTACCTAAAAAAGTATAAACACAATGAAATAAACTGGAAGGAATAACAAAACAATATCCAATTTGTTATTTTTATTCAATTATTATACAGGATTTTTAATATTAAAGATAACATTTTTTTGCTGTTTTCATTCATGTATACATTGTTTTTACAAAAAGTTTTTTTCATTAAAATTATTAGTTAAAAGTCACACACTATCCAGATAGTTACTGTATATTATTTAAAAAGTTATTTTGCTAATGTGATTAACTTGATGTAATAGTATTGAATTTGATGTAAAATTTAATTGTATTATATAATAATGACGATTATGAATTATTATTTTTTACAATACATGCAACAACAAGCATTACAAATTTGAATATTTATAAAAATTATCATTATTACTTTAATATAAAAACAATTTTAAGTACAAAGTTTTTTTAAATCTGAAAATACAAAAATAAAACAAATGATATGTAGAATATTAGTAATTTACATATAAAAAATATTTATATAAAGAATGTTTTGTCTCTTAATTTAGCATGTATATTTTTTTTATTTATTTTAAACAATTAACAAATATCTGTTGTTATTAGATTGAAAAATATCTTCTTAAATAAAGTGTCAACTGTTTTAGCATTAGAACAAAACAATGTTTCATTTACTCGATTTATCTAATTTGATCTTGGCACGTTGTAAGTGTCTTAATGGCTTTTAAGATCAAGATAAACCTTGTATGCATATGCACATTGAAGTTGAAAATACATTTGGCAATGTAATCAATTACATGTATTCAACAATGCAATCAGGTAGACAAAAATATACAATTTGATAGAAACAGCTGTGAATTTTGTGATTCAGTAAGGTAAGAAGTGTTACAGATTGTAAATATTTTGTACATATCTTTTATTTTTTTAAATGTAATGAATGACTGATATTTATGCATATGTTTTATCAATAAAAGGAAAAGATTTTTAAAAAATTTAAATTTATTGACAATAATAAAAGTAACAGCATGAATAAATAAATAAAATATTTGATTTTTGTTTTTTTGCATATACATACATAAATTCATTTATGAGATTACAAAATATTTTTGTTACGAAAATGATGATTTTAGAATTACTGTACAACTGTAGGTATCCCACATACAACACAATACTTCTATAACATGGTTTCACTCCAACACAGTTTGAAAATTGGGGATATCCCCCATATGACTTGACTTCCAGTTTTGGATTTTTTGTAAGTTTATTATAGATTTATCATTTTATATAAAATTATAATTTATCTTATAATTAGAAGTCGTGTTGTATATTCTAACATGGTTTTGGTAATCTTCCATACTAAATTTCACAATTTTTAAATGTGAACTTTGTTACTTGATATTTTTTTTTATTCAAGTAAGCACATGTTTTTGTCTGAAATTTGCCCATGGATTTTAGAATATTGAAATTTCCAAATTATTTTGTGCTTTTCCTCAGGTTTACTTTAATGAAAACAGGTTGTACAATTTTTTCTTCCTTGTCCTAACCTTTCTATCAACCTAGTGTCATTGTCATTGCTTTCAGACCTTTAGCCCTTCAGACTGTCACTGTGTTTTCTTTTCATAGATTAATCTTTATATTTAGTAAAGTTTAAACATTTTTAAGTAAGTGTTATTAAATTTGTTTTTTAACTACAGGTAAGCAATCATTCGTAAAATGACAAACAAGGTACGACAGTATCTCAGTACTTGAACAATTCGGTATTTGAACACAAATTCCAGAAAAAAGTCACTCGGTACTCAACCAAACAAACACATGGTAGAACAAATTTTTGATGAATAACATTTTTTTTATTTCATCATCCATAAAAATATTTTATGATAGAAATAAAAACTGTAAAAATGTTGATGATACTTCTGATCAAGATTAACAAAAAAGCTGAGATGACAACAATATTTTGTAAAAAGACAATGCCCTGGTTTAACTAAAATTAATATTAATGCATAATACAGTACTTTTAATTATGATTGTTAATTAATTATTGATTGCTTTAATAATCATATTTCTCTCAGTTACAAAAAAGAATAGTATACTTTTACTATGAATTGGGTTTGGAAGATGTTTATATGCTATACTTTTGCTAACTTCTGGAATATAATCCTATGTTTTGCATTAGTCCTTTGTTTCATATAGCACAGATTCATATAACATGGCACTTTTTTGGAACATAACTACCATGTTATACAAGGGATACCTATATTGTATTTTATATTGTTGTTTGTATTTTTTTTATTTTTACATTTTTGATAAACAATTGTTTATTTTGTTAAATAAATAATTTTTTTAAAATTTATTGTGTTTGTGTTTTTTGGATGATGTTATTTCATATACGGAGTAAATCAGATCATTTGATTAAAATTACACCATGCCTATATTTAAAAGAGATGGCAAGTAACTATCTTGCCCAAGATGATAGACAAGTAGCCATAAAAAACGTAAACTCATAAACCAAATCATAAATCCCAAAAGCAGCTTCATAATATTCAAAATCTTGCAATACAGAAAAATACACCCCCAAAAACAAAGTTAAACCTAATCTAAAAACAGCCTGAAAATATTCCCCCTTCAAAATTCTATGATGACATTAAGTCGCACTAACCCCAGAAGCTAACAAAATAGAAGTGTTTAATAAAGGAACATGAAAGAGGTTAAACCTCTCAATTATAAAAGGAGGCCAAATCAGCCCCAACTCTAATGTTGGAGCCAAACTACTATGAAAAAAGCCCCAAAAAAATACAAAAAAGAAAACTTCACAAACAATAAACAAAATTATACTGGCCCTAAGTCCTTTAACCACAAGTAAATTATGATCACCATTCAAACATCCTGTAGACAATAAGTAAGAATACAAAACTTTTTATGAAAGATTTTCAGTATGTAGTCACAGTGACCAAATTGTGGCACACAAGCTGCATGCAGTTCTAGACCTTTATTACAACTCCTGTATAAGTTATATGCGGTGTGTATATAACTTACATAAAATACAGAATGTGATAGAGAATGAGGATCTTGTATTTTTGATAGGTGATATGACTGTCATGATAAGGTTTAGCCAGCCCTGATATATACTGTACAATGCATTTGCTATAGTTTTATATGTTGCTGTTTATTGTCTGGGCTTTGAAACAAACATTGCTTCAATAATTTTAAATAACAAATGGTCTAGAGATAAAAACTTGCATAAACAAACATCACAAAACCCAATAAATTTGTAAAGCCAAACAACCACTGGATTATTATTTATTTAATAAATATTAATTTAATTATAATTATTAAATTTAATAAGAGATGGTTCCTAACGCCTTCTTTTAGTAACAAATTATTTAGTAATTAATTAATTATAATCGCAGAAAAATAACCCAATGTAATTCAGTGGTTGTTTGACTTAAAAACTTGCAATGCCAAATTTGTAATATTTCAAGGAAAGAAAAAACAATAAAATATTTGGGTTTAAACCCAAAATTATTATGGAAAAGACCAAAAATCAGTGATTTAAGAGGTTTTCACTTTATACCAGGGGTGGTCAAACCTTGTCACCAAATCAAAATTATGAAAATTGCCCTTATTCTTTTAGAACTATATATATACACTAAAATACTCTAATTATTACTGTTACTTGTATTACTTGTACTTTATAACCAGTAAGAAAATTTAGAAAAATATTACTGTGTATAAGTAGTATGTACCAAATTTACAAAAAGAAATTGTATAAGGATACAGGACTATAATAATGATTTTTAAGAACTGCTTTGACCACTATGGGTATAGACCAGGAGTAAATCCAGTTTTTTAAATGAAAGGAAAATAAAATGTGAAAGTGCATGTATGGGGACCAAAATTTCTAGTTTTTTTATGATTTGTAGCTGGTCTGGTCAACAAATCAATTGCAATAGGCTGATTCAAAAAGATGGCAAAAACAGTGAAGAAAAAACAAAGGACCTAAATACAGTGATACCTTATATTTTGAATGACTCTAACATCAAGCACTTCACAGTTTGAATGCTAAATTTGACATAAATGTGTAAGACAGGCTTTATTCATGCAAAATTCAAGTACATTAACAGCCATGTGAAAAAAATCTCTTTCCACCGTAAAAGTTAGAAATAATAAAAAAAGGATCACATTTATATAAGCCCATCCATCTCATATCTTGAGTCTGTGTCCTTGCACATCACCAGAAGATTTCAAAAATTAAGATTTAACCTTCCAAGAAAATCATAGCTGGCTTTACATACAATACTATGTAACAACAGACAAATTTACTATGATAGAAAAATCAGGCATTTACTTAATTTCAAAAATTGAGATTTAACCTTCCCATAAAACCACAGCTGGCTTACAACACCAAAACAGTGATGAAAAAATGATATATATCAGGCATCAATTAGAAAATTGCAAAGCCATATAATAGAGCACCAAAATCACATTCATAATTATAGACTTTTCACAGAACTATCTAGAAGGGTTCTCTATCATTGCATTACATCCCTGTGGAATAATTCTTTCATCCTTGTACAATCTTTGGACTGTAACTGTTTATTTGTCTGGTAAATATTACTTATTGAGAAATTGGAGCAGTGTAATATGCCCACTTTAGAGCTTCTAGTAGGTTTCACTATTTAATAATTAAAAAAATTAAATCTTAGCCATCAGTACATCAATATTTTTAAATTTTAGTTTTGACTATTGATTAAATAATAATTTGATAGTGCACTGTTTAAATCAAAAACATTCATTCCAATTAGAATGTATTAACAGTAATGTTAAAACTTATATCAATGTTCTAAAATTTGTTTTCATTTTGCCTGAAGAATAATTGCACTTATTTTTTGAAGAATGTTATATTTATTTTTGTGTTTTACTCATTAAAACTTTATTAATACCAATAGACAGTACTCTTAAAATTTAATCTGATAAGACTGGTATGAGAAGATAATTATTTCCATCATTATTTTCATCTTGATTTTATTCAAACAAATATGAAGAAAAAAGTTTAAAATAAGCATCTAAACAAAGAATATAATCTCATATTAGCAATAATGTGTTAAATTTCATAACTGTTATAATTAATCTTGGTGTAGCCTAGGGCTGGCTAATTGTATAGACTTATCATACCTTGTAGGTTAAAAGTGATGAAACAGAATTAGAGTGAGTTAAAAATTGTAAGATTCACAAATCAATGTATAAACTTTTATTTAATAAGTTTATACTTTGATTTGTGAATCCATTTATGTTGAAATTTTCTATAAAAAAAAAAATCTGAAGTTATTGATTTTCAGATGTACTGAGAATTTATGAACAATACATATTTGCTTTAAGATTTAGGTCAGGAATTTCAATCTTTTCCTCTAATGATTACTTTTTTAATATTATGCAAAGTAATAATGTGTGAAAGGATGAAATTTCAACATATAACTTTCAAACCAAAGATATTTATGATTAAAATTTCTATATTAATAATTTTATTTTTATTTACTAAATAAAGAAAAAATTTTTTAAAATTATTTATATTAAAGCATTTACTACTGACTATTTTATTTCTTATAGGCTATGCTTCTCCATTTGTTTGAAATTTTTAGTATAGAACTGATATACTAAACTTATGTTAAAAATAATATTTTATTTTAAAACTATTGATTTTGATATAGAAAATCACTTGACTTGAGATGGATTTGTGTGTATTTAAAATACAAGCATTACTATATACTGATTTTTATGTAAAATGTGTACAAAAATTGTTTTTTGTATTTAGATATTCGGGTCCTGCTCAATAACGATATGTTATTAAAGGAAGAAGCTATTGAGTAAGTGTACTATAATATACATTTTCTGCTAATTAACATCTTAAACAAATCTAATGCGAAGTTTCCTCTTGTAGAGCATGTGGAAAATATAACAAAGAGCAACTAATTCCTATTAGAATTGAAGGCCTACAACACAAAGTATTTACAAATTCAAATTAAATATTACATTACTTTTGTAAATTTTTTATTTAAAATTTCTACTTATTGTATAGGTATTGCTTACTGAATATAATGAATTAGATAAAGGTTATTTTTATGATCCAAGGAGTGGCAAAGCATTTAAGTATGATCATTTGCGAAAAGAAGTGTCTGATGTTCATCCTATGGAGAGTGATATGTATATAGAACCATGGCGTTCAGCATTAGAATCTTTATGGATAACATATACCCAAGATCATTATAAACATGGCACTTGTTCTGTGTTTGGTACCGTTCAACATGGAGATATTGTTCTCATTGCATGTATTGAAGATCATCAGTTTCAACCAAAGAATTTTTGGTAAATGAATTACTGTTTTAAAATATAAATGTTTTGTTTGTTTTATTTCATTTCTGTCAAATTACAGGAATGGACGTTGGCGATCCATTTGGACAATAACAATTCCTTCTGGATTAGGAGTAGCAGATATTAATGGATTAGTAAGAGTGCAGGTTTGTTATATTTATAGTTATATATTATCAAATTATAATAAAATTTAAATTTTTATAAGTTATTTTGAATTACCAACTATTTGGCAAATATTTGAAAAAATGGCTTTTCAGTACAGTGGTGCCTCATACTTCAAATTTAATTCATTCCAGGAGGCTGTTCGAACTCCAAATAATTTGAAGTCTGAATCAATTTTTTCCCATTAGAAATAATAGAATCTAATTAATCTATTCCTACACCCTAAACAATATTCATTTCAATAAACTTAAAACTGCAAACACACAATTTAAGGTAAAAATAACACAATCAAATGCCCTAAAACTAAGTTAAAACATGAAAACAATAAATAAAATATGTAAATACTGTATAATAAAATGAAAATTGCATTAACTGGTTGCACAGTGCATCTTAAAATAGCTGCTATATCTGCCACAATTGTACAGCTTTTATGCTTTGCAATAAGTTTTTTTTTTTCCTCAATCAGCAATATTACAATCTTCCTCTTTGATTTTGTTGCCTCCACACAATTTTACAATGCCATGGTTAATAAATAAAGGTTATATTGGGTTGAACAGGCATTTTCTGCATATTTTTGACAGCTGGTTAGATGTGAGATTTAACACATTATTGCTAATGTGAAATTGTATTCTTTGTTTAGAAGCTTCTTTTAAACTTTTTTTTTACATTTTGTTTGAATAAAATCAAGTTGTAATGTTGTGGGATAAAAAGCATATCAGACATATTATGCTTTTGAGTTTCAGAAATGTATAATGCCATACAAACAGTAATAAAACAAAAATTGTAATGTATATTGGGAATATGCTTCTAAACTTTGAATATGTCAAATGTGTTTTAAAAAGTTTCATTTGGGAAATTTTGAACTAAAGAATACAAAACGTAGGTGGTGCTCAAAAGCTTTCAACAAAGGAAAATTGCAGGAAGAAATTGTTAAAAATCAATTAACAACACACAATACAGTATATATTTTTGATATGTTTGATTATAAAGTGCAAAAATGCACTGAAAACATACAAGTGTAATGTAAGAGTGAGAGCGAGACACAACTTAGTGCACAACAGATTGTCTTTATGTTTTGAGCTCATTTTCTCAGTGCCTGTGCAGTTCAAACTCTGAGACAGATTTTTATCAAATTTAGCATTCAAAGTTAGAGTTGTTTGAAATATGAGGTACCACTGTATTTTCTAATTTTAAGTCTTCTAAGTCTTTATAATAATTTAAGATCACAATCATTTCTAGGATTGCACTTATAATATAACTGTTAATATCAAAACATAAACTTAGAAAATTAAAACATCTTTTAAGTTTTGCTAAGTTAGAACAGCACTGTATATTAAATTCTTCTATTTTCTTTCATAACAAATGTTTTTAATTGTCAATAGAACTAGGATATGTACTGTACATACTAAAAATCACATAAATAAATGTTTCTTCCATTGTTCTAAAGACTGTTCCTGTGAAACCTTTTGTAAGCCAAATTGGCATAAAGTGAAGAAGTGATTATCATTAATTTATATTGGAAAAATTTTTGTGTTCACAGACTCAAAATTAACTTACTAAGTTATACTGAATATCATGTAAAACTTGCTATTCAGTAACACTATGCCACACACATAGTGTGCAACACCTTTTTTGCACACTATGTATGTGCAAAAAAGTGTTGTCATTGTTTTTCATTGTTGGTATGACTTTCATTGACATCTAATGGCAATCCATATGTCATTGTTTGTTTTTGTTTGTAAATAAACACTTATTTTGTATGTAAAGAATTTTTGTGCTGGTGATTTTTCAAAATGTCATTGAGCAAAGAGCATTTATTAAATTTTGTTTTTGCAATGGAATTACTGCTACAAAAATGTTGGAAATGTTGAGGAAAGCCTTTGATGTGATTGAGTATCAAAAACGAGTTTTCAAGTAGTACAAAATGTTCAAGAAAGGTAGAGAACATGTTGAATATCAACCATACTCTGGTAGACTAACCACTTCAACTGATGAACAACATGTCACTCAAGTTAGAGATTTGGTGCTCAATGATTGTTGTTTAAATGCTTTCTCAAGACAAATCATTCTTAAAATATATTATGGATAATGAAACATGGATCTACACTTTTCATATCAAAAGAGCTCAACAATCAAGTGAATGGCACTCGAAAGGTGAAACAAGACCAAAAAGATCACATCAAAGTCAGTCAAAAATCAAGGCCATGTTGAATGTTTTCTTTGATTGTTGTAGTGTTAAGCATCACGACTTTCTTCCAACTGGCCAAACTGTTAACAAAGAATATTATTTGACTGTTTTGTGTCATTTGTTTGAAGCAATTTGTAGAAAATGAACTGATTTGTGGTGAGAAAATTCATGGATTTTGCATCACAATAATGCACCTGATCACAATGCTCTTGTTGTTTGTGAATTTTTGGCCAAAAATTCAAAAAATACAGTTTTGCAAGCTTCATATTCATATGATATAGCACCATGTGGTCACTACTCGACTAAAATTTCCTCTTTGTATTCACTGTTTTAAGTTGATTGATGCCATAAAACAAAATTTGCTGCAATTCCTGAAGGGGTTTCATGAAAATGACTTTAAAGCATGTTTCGAGGATTAGAAATATTGGTGTAAATGCATTGCAAGTGGGAGGAGATTACTTTAAAGGGGTCAAAATAAATTTTGATGAATAAATTCAAATCTTACATTTTATTGAACCATTTCTGATACTTTTTGATCACAGAGGTGGTATTTAAATCAAACATTTGTTGGAATCAACAATTGAAATTAATGTTAAATGGTATATGACATCGTTACGTACAACGCATTGTGCCGCGGTGATGTTTTGTAAATGTTTTTCTGTTATGTAATAAAAGGTTGGTAGCACTGTTGACCCTTCGGGGAGTCGTTAGAGATGGTGACCTCATTTCACTCTCCCCTTTTCAGCACTGAACTTCTGTGAGTCAAGGCAATATAATCTTTATGTATTCTTTGTTTCTTTGTTACATAACCAGTTATGTGAGTCCAACCAGTTTTACTAATCTCCAAAAAGCAACATCAAGTCTAACAGGTTATGGGTCCAGTTATGGCAACAACTAATTAAGCATAAGGTGAAAAAGGTAAATTCAAGAGATAATGTAAACTGGATATAAATTTATGTGAGAATATTTGGTGAGAACACAAAAGGCTTCACAATGGCAGATAAAAGTTACGTTGCCATCACTAAATTAAACAACAACAACTATCACATTTGGAAATATAAGATGGAATTGCTGTTGATAAAAAACAAGTTATGGGACGTAATACAAAAGGAAATACCCTTTGATCTTGACTCATCTTGATTAACATAGGACAGAAAGGCATGCTCCATGATAGGCCTCCTGATGAAAGACAATCAGTTGCTATTAGTAGGAAAGGAAACTACAGCTAAAGGAACTTGGGAAGCCATAAGGAAACACCATGTTAAGTCCTCACCAGTGTTTCTCAATGGGGGCGATATCGCCCCCATGTGGGCATTTTTCCATGTTTAGGGGGTGATTAGTAACAATTTATATTTTGGGGGGCGAAAAACAATTTTCTGGGCGATGTAGTAAAACATTATATTAAGAATCTATATATATATATAATTGAGACGGGTTGATAATAATAATAAGTGGAGAGCCCAAATGGTTAGGAGTTGAAAGTTGAAATTTGGTACACAGTTAGGGTATATTACGAGAACGCACACTAAGAAGGGATTTTTCAAAATTCCTCCCCACGGCGGAGAGGGACAGTATTAAGGCTTAACACTTCCATCAACAATGGAAGTTTTAAGTAACAATGGAAGTGTCAACAATGGAATTGTTAAGAGAAAGTGACGTACAAGACGCAGATGCAGTTTTTTTGTTTTTGCAGGAAATCGAACATATTTTTAGACCCATCTAAAAATTCTCTAATCAATCCTGAAACAGGTGGAACCAATTCTTGCATTCTGTGAAAATGGGTAAGGTTGACTATAATGTAATAATGTTAATCTTCCCTATTGTTACTTTTGCCCGAGCAACACCGGGCCTACCTGCTAGTAATTAGATATTTTATTTCTTTATATTGTACAATAATTAAATAACATTATACTAGTCACTAATCTATTCAATGCAGTATGAATTTGGCATTAGCCTTGTCCCTCGGCATCGGAATTTTGTAGTGAAGGGGGCGATACTATGTAATGGTTTTATTGAAGGGGGCGACGATTCGTTAGAGGTTGAGAAACACTGGTCTACACTATCGAATAAAGTTTAAAAATTGAAGAAAATTTGCAATTTAAAACTAGAAGAGAAAGACAACATGGAGATACACTTGGCCAACATGGAGGAATTGGTTGATTGTTTTATGGCACTGGGAGAAACTCTAGCTGAGAAATTAAAGGTAGCATTATTAGTAGCTTGTCAGACAGCTATAACACTTTAATAACAGCACTAGACACTCATCCAGAAGATTTAACTCAGGAGTTAGTACATAATAAATTACTTGAGGAACACTCAAGAAGAAATACCTCATTAAATAAAGAATATGAAGCGGATAAAGCATTTAAAGTGGGAACACGCCCAGTAATTCAGAAAAGGAATTTGCTCAAAAGTTATTTTTGCAAAAAACAAGGACATGTAAAGAAAGAATATAGGAAATGTGTAACATGGAAAGAAAAGCATCCAAATCAGATCAACAAAATTTATTCAGAAAGTGATGAACAACATCCAAAAAAGGAATCCTATGTATGTTTTAAGACAGGAACACAAAACGAGATTCATCAGTGGTACATTGACTCGGAAACTTTGTTGCATATGTGTTGTGAGAAGTATTTATTCACAACTATTAATAGTAAACATAGAGAAAGAGTGATACTAGCCAATGGTCAAGCTCTATACACTGAAGGTAAAGGCAATGTAATGATAACCTGCATGGATGAAAATAACGAACAATNTTTTATATGGGGGCTCTTTTTTCGAGATTTCTCCATGTACGTCACAGGTGATGATCTTCTTTGACCAATGATGGGCGAAGTGACAAACTTATGACACAACAGTTAACTCATCTTCTACA